GATCAAGACAGGCGCATGAATCATATTCTCAGCCAGGAAATGAAATCCGCGTGGAGGAGTCTTCCGAGGTCCCCAATCAAACGCCTTAATTTTGTGGTGGCGGGGAGGGTGGATTTTTAGGGTGCCGGAGGGCGGGTTTGTGGCGGTGCTGGGGGTGGGCCGGTGAGTGTTCTGGCGGTGCGTTGTGGTTGCCGGCGGGTGGAGGGTGGGCCGCGCGAGAGGGAGCGGAGAGATGCCGTCGGATTCGGAGTCGGAGTCTTCTGGTTTGGTGGGGACGGAGATGGTGATGGATGGGGGTTGGCGGGGGTTGAGCGGTGGTGGGGGGCGTAGGCCCGCGGGGTTGGGGCGGGACTGTTGTTGTTGGTGGCGGTGGGCTCCGTGGCGTGGTTGGAGTCGTCCGAGTCGCAGCTGAATCGGGGTGGGGAGGTGGTGATGATGCGGGGGTTGGGCGGCTGGTTACGCGCACGGCTGCGATCGCGGGTGGGCGCCAGGGGAGGAGGCGGGAAGTAAGGAGCGGCAGCGACAGCGGCGGGAGCCCTGTTCCACGCCTCCTGTTTCGTCTTCTGCTTACCTCCCGTGGCGCCCGCGCGTCCCTAACCCTCGATATCCTTCGGCTCAGTGTTGGCTGCGGCCTCGCGGCGAAGGCGGTGCCACAAGCCGACGCAGACGAGCGCGGAAAAGGCAAAGAGCACGCACTGGGCAATGGACAGACCCCAGGCAGCTTTGATCTCGTAGCAGATTGTCCGATCGAGCTGTGACAAAGGAGGGGTAGGAGACGGTTTGGGTGATGATGGTGGCCCGGATGGGGAAGCCGGCGGCGGAGATAAAAGCTGTGGTTGTGAGGCCATTTGAGGTAGGGAGCGCGGCACAGTTGAGTTTCGAAAGGGGCTTGCCTAGTAGCGAAGCCACCACAATAGACGCGATGAGCAATAGGCCGTCGAATATCCCGGTGAAAAGCAGCGGAAGCATGCTGTCGTAGTACAAGATGTAAGTGATGACGACGTAGACCACCCGAAGTGACCGCCTATGCTCGAGTTAGAGGATTTCCGTGTAAGTCGAACAGGGGACGTACCACTGTCAAAGTGCCAATCAGCTCGGCGGGGGGATCGTGCTCAGCAGTCGTGATTCCGTTGATGAAGTTGGCACAGAGCCCAATAACAGCAATCAACGAAGCAAACTGGAACGCCCTCATCACAATGAAGGTAACGCCCATGGCGCCCAGCTGGGGGGCCTGGAACCGCATCTTCAAGGGCCCGGCCGAGTCGAAGTCGGTGATGAGCTCGAGTGCAGGTCGTTCTTTGCTCGCCGTACGCAGAGGGAACTGTGGCTTGGGAAACGGGGCTGTTGGAGGCGGCGGGAATGAAGTGTTGGCGGAAATGGTGGGCAACCAGTTGCTTCACGCCGAGAAGCGTGAGGAAAGATGACTTGGGGTTGGAGATTTGGGACAGATCAACTGCCACGGGGACCGGCCAGAGGTTGTCGTTGCTGGTAGTGCTTGGGAGGAAATAAGGAAACGAGAACTGAGAGAGTTTGACCAATAAAACCGCTGATAAGTCGTGAGAAGGAGTTTGAAGTCGTATCAAGGAAATCGAAGACCCTAACCCAGAGGAAAGACAAGATTGGATGATAGAGACCTAGGAGACAGGAAATAAGGAAACAAGGAAACGGAAAAGGAAACCCAAAAACCTAGGAAAGGAAATGGATGTTTGGATGTTGAGCGTGATGGCAGAACAACTCAAACTGTGGCAGGCCGGGAAGCATCCCATCTTTATGGCCTTCACCTTCGCGACCGATAATTCCCAGGCGCGGTCTGGACCATCTCCATGTCGAAATCCCATGTCCACAACATCTAATTCAACGCAATCTCAAACAAGCGCACCCAGGATTAGCGCCTTAGCCACGCGCTGCACGACATGTTTTAGCATAGTCTAACACGGTTTTCGCCAGCCGATGGCACGACATCGATGACTGTTCGACTTATCGTGTTCCTATTTTTTGCTGCTGCCAGGTACAGCAGACGTTGGCGGGCTTCAGCAGGCGCCGCGGTCTCCAATCAGAAGCCCTAGGGCTCGCCCGTAGCGGGTCCGACCGACCCACAACCCTCAGCGGCTCTCGGAATCCCTGCAACCAACCAGATCGGAGATCGATCGTTTCGCAGTCCGTGGATTTTGTTTGTCGCGGCTGCTGGTGTGGGCCTGGGGACGGTAGAGAAGGCGGGTCCGGGATTGATTGGATGGGAAACAGAGATGGATGGAACGGGACCTGGGAGTGGGGAATTAAAGGGACCGTCGCCGGGTCTCTGGCCTCTGGCGCACTTCGCTGTTCCTGCATGTTTTGTTTATGCTTCCGCTGTGCGCCACTGGCATTGGCAGGGTCATTTACCCGGGTCGCGAGAGGAACGAACTGGCCAGCGGGCCGGTTGTTGATGGGGCTCTGGGGTCGACTTCGGAGTACCGGACAGTGGTGCCGGGAAGTTGTATCGATGAAAAACATTTTCGTGAGATCAGCAAGCCGGCAAATTGGCTGGTGGAACTGAAGAAAAGGTGGAGGGTTAGGGTTTATTTTGTCCGATAAGGACTGTGGAAGACCCAAGCAGGAGGCAACAGGCTAAACAGCATACAATATGTTAAGGCCGTGTATGGAGCATAGTCGGGTAGCATCATAGGACCCATGCGTGACCCACATCAGGATGACATAGTGCAACTGGTCGTTCGTTTCAAGAGATATTAAACTATATCTGTAGCTCAAGGCTCAAACATTCGCTAGAGACCAACAAAAAACAATAACTATCGCTCTTATTCCCATACCAACGCCGCGAGTTAACCAACCTTTGTCGCTACAAGCCCAATCCGCACCTTAAAGGTAGATGTAGCAGAGCGGCGAGCCATTCTGGCCAGTCGTGCTCATGAGGTTCTTGATCTTGATCGGGGCCCCGATGTGGCCGACGTCGACAGTGTCCTCAACAGTGGTGTTGGCGCTGGGGGGCGCGTTGAGCAAGGTGTTGGTGCCAAAAACGCCCTGGCGGTTTTGGAAGTCGAGCATCTGCCAGATCCAGTAGACGCGGTCGATCTGGGCGTGGTGGAGGTAGAAGGCCGGGTCGCCCGACGAGATGAAAGCGTCAGAGCCGGGGTCGCCGCTGATCATGAAGTGGCCGCCACCGTGCACACCGAGCGAGTTGGGAATGTAGTTGGGGTCGGCCTCCATGGTCGTCCGGAAGATTTCAATGTTGGGCGAGTTGATGATCAGGTCGGTCGTGTTCCGGAAGCTCGAGAACCTCGAGCCGGCATCGGCGTTCAGGTCGCGCTTCAGGCAACGCGGGTTGTCCGCAGTCGGGTCCGGCTGCGTGATGGGGCCCAGCCGGACCGTCATGTCGGCAAAGGGGCCCGTCTTGACACAGCCGCCACCGGTGCCCTTCTTCAGCACGACGGGTTCGGCGTTGCCAGGAATCTCAAGAGAGAGGTCAGGACCCGGAATGAACTCGCCGTCACCACTCATGGAGGTGTCAGACTCGTCAAAGATGGGGGAGAGATGAGGGGCGCTGGCATCGAAACTCCACTCTCAGTAGGGGAGCGCATCTGTTGCAAAACTGTTAGTGACGAAACGAGACTCGCTGCCAAGTGACATGACGTACCCTTGTAACCACAGGCATTGAGCCTTCTTCCTCGTACTCGTGGATGTAGTTCCGGTGCCAGATGAGGAAGTTGCCCTGAAACAGCCATCAGTAGGAGTTTCACGGCATGACACGCCATGTCGACGAAAACGAGGTAACTCACGGTGAAGTGGATGAAGGGCGTCGATTGCAGGTGCACGTAGACAAAGTCGTCAAAAAGGGTCTTGGACCCCGCCGAGACACCCGCGGGGAGGAGGCTAGGGCTCTTCTGGAGACACTGAACGGCCTTGATATAGCTCTTGCGCTGGGCCTTGGATAGCGTCCTCCTGTTCCTCGCGTCAGCATGTCTGTGCAGGGAAGATCAAAGCTGGCGGTGGGATGGCGTACCACTCCCTGCGGATCTTGACGTTGCCAATGTTGCACGAGCCGCCGTACTTGGTGGCCGACTGCAACAGAGCAAGACCGTTGAGGCCGGATAGGGCGAGGCCTGAGTCGATGGCAAGCTGCTCGAACGCGGGGAGGTTGAAGGTTGCCGAGGCTCCCATGGCCGCAGCCAGGGCGATGGACGCAGAGAGCTTCATGGTGAGTTGAGTTATTCGGTCTGTGTCCGGATGAATGTTGGGAGATAGCTGTGTGGTTCCGAATTCTAGCCCGGGACGGAACCAGTATCTTATAGTAGTTGGTCCGGAGTCTGAGAAAGCCACCACGAGGGCCCAAGGGGACCCTTGTGCACGATGGATGGCACATGGGGTCGACGAGGGTTCGCTGCAAATCCGGCTGGCAGCGAGACATCGCCCTCCTCCAAGCCACGGTTGGGCCGGGGGAATTGCTGCAGCTGGCGACAGGCTACTGCAACCATCTCATGCACGGTCCGGGGTAGTGCTGAACGCCAAGAGGTCGAAGGCGAAGGATCCCAAAGGTCCACCGGCCAAAGTTCTGGAACCCCTGTAATTCGAGATTCACCCAGGTTTGCTGGGATCATCAATTCCATCAAGGGACGCGGGAGGAATGGGCTCTCAAGATGGGGTGTTCTCCGCTCCAGCGCGGCCGGGCCTTGCCCGACATCAGCGCCATCATTCCATGTCCGTGATCACCGACGTTCCGAATGGTCAACGACTACCAAGTCCATACCCTTAACCCCCCAAGCGAGCCAACGCCACATCAAGACGCGTGGTCGGGAAACGAATAGTTCCTCTCGGTGCATCAATAGTAGCTTGAATGTTTCCAGGGTATGCGCAGTTCTTGTGCCCCTTGTTTTGGCCAGCCAGATTGGTTGGTGTTTCGGGGAGGAGGGTCATCCCAGAACCCAACCGTGCCAGCGCCGCCCGTCGATGATATCGGCCATGTCGCACAAAGCTTACTTGTGTGGGAGGAGTTCCCGGGTCTGCTACCATCACTCGAGGGCTGTTTGGCTGTGCTGCCGAGTTTCCGTTCTACCGCCCTTCTAGTGTAGAACTCGTTGCAGCGTGCAGCCTGCACAGTGCTTGCGTCGGTCGTCTGAAAGTGCGTGTTTTTTTTTTTCTTCATCTCTCGCTTGTTGTGCAGCCGAAGTTAGGGTGCGAGGTAAGCGAGGGTTTTGCCCGGCTGCAAAGCCGATTCCTCAACAAGTCGAAGTGCAGCCAAGGGCCAGGGCAGGCAACTGCCAACTGCATTTCGCCGTGCATGAGGTGGCTGACACCTTCCCGCCAGCCTGAGACAGAGCATTTCAATTGCTTGGCACCTCCAGCCCCCAAACTGTTTGTTCTTCGGGCTTCCCTTTTTCCGTTTCGGTTTCTGGTGAAATAGGTGGCAGCGCATACTGTCGAGTGTGCTTTAGCCGAACAACTTAGGTAGGTTTGTTTTTCGTATTTTACTAACTAACTGCTGTGTAAGGCGGCGTCATATTCCGAGGTCTTTTCTTCGGTGGCCAATTTAGATTAACGAATCCACGAACCCGGCTCGCTTCATACTCGAGTACCTGGCACGGTCTTCCCATGGCGGCCATGCATCTGTTGGTTCTGCAGCCAAGCCATCTCGAAGCACTGCGATGCGATGCAAGGGCCCTGGCCTTACTGTCGCCAAACTCGGGACTACACGAGTGTAGGCAAGTTTGTTTGTAGAGACACTAACTATTTTACACAAGGCGGCCGAGGGCGCATCGAGTGTTCCGCTCGTATCCCTCGCCCTCCACGAATAGGATGTTTGGCGTTTGGTACATCCCGAAGGCCTGCCTCATCCTGCATCGCCAAATCGATAGTCTGGAAATTCCACAACAATGGTTAAACTCGAGCTCCCCCGGAGATCTAAGACTGGCCCGTCGTTTTACAGGGGTGGTCAAGGGACACAGACACTGTCAGGAGGGCAGCCACAATGTGGCATGCTGAGCTGGCCGTGTATATCAAAAATCCCGAACCTACTGCCTTTAAATTGGGGGCGCCACGTTGAGCAGTGCATATTTTCCGTGGTCACTCTCCTAGAAACTTGCAGGATAGCAATACATGGCTGGATTTAAACGATATTCTTACCTTTGGAAACTCCCCCGTCGGTCCCCTCCGTTTCTTGTTCTTATTGTGATAGAATTTTGCCCCCCCAGCGATAGATCCCCCCCTGTGTTTCTCA